CGACATGAGGTGACACAACAGTTGGCTTTTATTGCCATTAGTTCTTTGATGTTAGTTTGGTGTGTCCTGTACACAGCTGAACGGCATGCTGGGTACGGCTCATTCTCCATCGCTTGCTAAACAAAACACCTGAGCTCTTACATTGTAGCAAAACTGCATTGTAACAGAACACCTTTGTTCCCAGCCTGGTCCCAAATCATTAGCTGTTAGCAAATGGCACGTATACTCTGGCATTGCTTGGGGACACAGCTATGTCATTGCAGGAGCATTGCTCAGGAGCCAATGAAGCATTTTCGCGGCCAAGCAATCAACCCATCAGAACAAGCACGTTTTGAACAGTCACTACACAAGCAGCAGTAAAATCAACAAGGTTCAAGTCAAGTCTCAAGTGCTCAAAGTGACAACCAAGTCACGGATGTGAAGTCTGGGCGAACTGAGTTGTGTTCTCAGGTTTCTTTCTGAGTAATCAACTTCAGTTTAAAGCTGCACTAATCAAATTTATGTATTATGGATCAAGTGACAGTGTAACGTGAGAGTGGTTGCTCATAGACAACCAACATCTGACTCTGCAGTTCCCCTCAGAGTCGCTATTTTGGTTTTATGTTCTGCAACTAAACTGTTTTGATTCAGTCTCACTGCTCTCATCAACCTTGAATCCAGCCGCAAAAGGCAGCTGTTGTCAGTGATAAATTCACTGTAGGCTAACTGCCCAGCAGAAAACAAGAGACAGATAGACAAAGGTAGTGAGTAGCCGGTGAACATATTGGAGCATTTAGCAGCTAAAGAGCCAGATATTTCCCCCGGGAGCTGGTGGAGACCAAAGCATATTGGACTGAGCAGCAGAAATCAATTCTCGCTTTTAAGAAAGATTATGTCGTTTTTGAAAGGAGAAACAACACAAGCTTTCTCTTGCAAATGAAATGCTGAATTCACAAGCAACAAAATGAATCATGCTTGGTAAATATTAATACACTCAGGGGTTTTGCTGCTACAACCTCCTTCATATGGTAGCTTATGGAGGCTTATGTTAGAAAAAGTTAGATATTACTGTGCAACTTTCTCTCATCGTGACTTTTCTCTACTTGTGCTACTGTTACACTGTGTTTCAGCCTGTCACTGATAAACTAATGAAAATGTCTTTATAGCCAACTGAATAGGCTTTGGGGAAATGAAGGGAATTCACTGTGCCATTAAGTTATATGGCCTTGCTTTAGGTAAATTTGAATACAGGATGCAAAATGGAGGTTGAATTCGCTGAGGAATAGGGGTATGAAGTGACTGACAGGTTGTGAACTAACACCTCTTGTGCTTTTCCTGGGCTCATACAATTCAAATATTTCACATTTCTCCAAATCCAGGCAATTTAAAACATATCCAAGTGTAAACAAGCGTGACAGATATCATGCCTCCCCTTGTGACTTCAGCCACATGTTTGTTCACTGCTCTAAAATGCAAACCTGTTGGCATTCAATCTTTAAAAGTCTTTCTGATGTTCTTGAGATTAACCTGTAACAATGCCCCTTAAGAAACATCTTCTGTGTCCCGATGGATTCGTCTTCATTAAATCCTAAACAAGCAGACAGTGCTGCTTTCACAACTTTGAAAGCTTGTCGCAGATTGTTCTTAATTGGGAGTCCACGCAGCCTCCTTCTATTTCAACTTGTCTTGAAGATGTGATGTGATCTCTCGAGCTTGAGAAAGTTAAAGGCGTAGTTTACACCAGTATCAAAAATACACATTTTTCCTCTTACCTGCAGTGCTATTCATCAGTCTTGTTTTGGTATGAGATGCCAAATTTTAAAGATATCGGCTGTAGAGATGTTTGCCTCCTCTCCAATATAATGGAACTAGATGGTGCTCGGCTTGTGGAGCTATGAAAAACTCAACAGCAATGTGTCTTACCAGAACTCATGACCTGGGTACTCAAGATAATCCACAGACCTTGTTGTGAGCAGTTTCATGTCGGTACTATTTTCTTCACCCAACTACACCTGCTAACTGTATCACCACACAGAAGGATACGTGCATCTACTCATGGATGAATGCTCATTTTCGTGACAGCACGAAATGTAAACACTAATGGCGTCCTCCTCGACTGAGCTGTAACGTTAGCTAACTCAGTGTTGCTGGGTGAGCACGCTTCCTTCTGTGCAATAATACATTCCTGTTGAGGTTTTCATATTCATTTTTGGGGCTTTGAGCACCACAAGCCAAGTGCCAACTAGTTCCAATACATTCAAGAGAAAGCAGACATCTCCACAGCTGATATCTTCAAACGCTCGGCAACTCATACCAAAACAATCAAGACTGATAAATAGCGCTAAAGGTAAGAGGAGAAATATGTATTTCTGATTTGGGGGCTAACTGTCCCTTTAAGGATGACTTCATATATCAAAATGACAACTGTTCATATCCTTCCTCAATGTCCTACAAAGGTTTCCTTTGGATACGGGGTTATAACTTGTGAATGGCTACGCTCAGGGCTCTCTATTCCACTACCTCTGACGGCAAAAGGTGCTTCCAACACATGTGACTTCTACGATATATTTGTTAATTTACGCCTATTTATTTATTTTTGTTTTCATTCTTGTTTGTAATGCCCTGTAACCACTGCAAATTTTAATATAAGCACATTTTTGAAAAAGAACACAGGATGCATATGGCGTATGCTCATGTTTAAGTTTATGTGTCAAGTTCAACTGCAAGTCTTGAGTTCAAAGCTGTCAGAATCCACATCCGAGTTGTTTCAGGAGTCTTTGAGTTTTTGACTCTGTCATGAAAGCGCTCCACATCCCACCAGTCACACATCACCCATCCCCAAATGTTCTGAGGCCCCGGAGACGTTCCTTCATCAATTCAGAGCACACCAATGTGCCATCTTCCCAGACCTTTAATCTCTCACCAAGTCTCCTCCCGCTTGCCACCCAGGTGCAGGCGAAACATCACTCAGCAGCTCCAATCATTGCCTCTGTCAGTTAACAAGTTCTGGAAGGAGCCTTCCTCCTGCAGACAAATGTGGGGCCATCAGCGCTGCCCAGATGCGAATTGTTTTTATCAACCGTCAGAATGTGAGCGCTTAGTTGTCGCTACAGGGTCCCTGCAGCATGCCTGCTTGCCTGCCGGCCTGATATTTTAAATCCTGATCCAATCTGACGGCCGCAGCATTTCAACTCTCAGGAGACTTTTTTTTTTTTTTTTTTACCTCTCCTCTAAGAGTATTCCAGATCTACAAGACAGATGCTACAGATGGAAAATACACACTCAGAATTCATTTACACACCTAAGACACCCCTCACATTCTGCACGCCTCCACAGCAATTACATCTACAGAGATGAAAACTGTGTGCGTGCTTTAGTGATTACAGTCATCTGAGCCAAAGGAAATTGATGGTTAGTGCATGAAGCGATTGGAAATATAAGAAGGGAACGGCATGCTTCTGTTTCCAGACGTGATCAGTTTTGAAGGCTCCTGCTGCCGTACAGGAGTGCAGGTAGGAAACGACAGCAGCGCGGTGTGTATATTTCATAACGACAACAGATCACAGTTCCCTTAATTGGGTAACATGATTTCACTTCATTTCTGCTCAGGCTGTTTCCAACTGTCATCATCTGCAGATTAATTCGAAGTATGCATTTCCCCAGACTAACAGACTGCAGCCTGAACGCAACAGCAGCACTGACGCTGAATAAATCATTCAAAAAAAGCCATTCAAGACACTCTTTAGAAATTTAAGACTGAGATAGTTTAAAATAACCACATAATGTACAAGAATGAACATCTGCATGCATTTTTCATTCTTCTGCTGCCCTCAAACACACCCAGAATATATTTAAATACAGATTGACTCAGGAATAAATGATTTCAAGCCGCTGTAACGCCAAATAGCATCAGAATAATGTGATAATGAGCATTCAATCTGCTTGAGGAAGACATCCCGCTGCTGCTACAACCAGGATATACAAGACAGTCTCACAGGGATATCTACCTCAGCAGTGCTGCCTTGCATTTCAATACGTGTGTGTGAAAGTGTGTTTGCATGTGTGTGACAGCAGAGTAAGCCGATAGGGATTTTCTGCTGTCTTCATCATCACTTGAAGTCAACCCCCAGGCCAAATGTGTGCAGGATCTGTTTCCCTCTCTTTGTGTGTGCGCGTGTCAGCCTTGGCCCAAATGTGCTTTACATGTAAATAACTAGAGCATTTGCATTTAGAGCACTTATAATCCCCCACTGTTAACCCCAGCCCCAGGTACGCACCCATCAGACTGACAAACCTCTTTTATGGCTTGGTTCATTTTCATTTGCTGCTCCATAGCAGTGACAATTATCATCAGCTTCTATTCACAATCAATTCACTGGACAGAGAAAAAAAAATAACCCACAAAGCATAATCATGACTCCCATTATAATTGCAGCACCCAATACTTCAACAGTGCATTAAAGGCTGGCTGCAACATACATCAGCAACAATCAATAAATCCTGCATGATCCTCTGAGGCAGGAAACACACCAAAATCCAGCAGATCAATACCACAGAAGACAGGAATAATGAGGCAGCATGGGATCACAGAGGTGGGGCCGGGATGCATTTTCAAAAAATGATGAGTTTTTAAGTTCCTCGGATGCTGGCAGAGCTCAGGCTTGCAGAGTTTATTGATCTTGGGCTTAATTTCAGCAACAAAGGTTTGATTTTTTGGCAAATCATCTGAGGACATGACATGAAAGGCTACTCATCAGTTTGATCTAGCCTCTTTTTTCCCTGCCTAAATAAGAGATATCTAGGAAGCCTTGTTTAATGACAGCAACACACACCTGAATGATGCAACATGCTGATCAGAATATTGATAAGGGGCTACACTTAGTTGGATCCCTGTTAGAAGCCTTTAAGGCTCCAGGTTTGTCTGGCCAGTATCTGATGGTGTGTGCGAGATGGAAAGTGTAACCCCCGGCGTTTGCATGGAAAGGTGACAAAACGGAAGGAGATGGTTAGAGATAACTTACCCCGAGGATGACAGTGTCTTCTCCTTGAAATATTGGGATGAACTTATCTCCGCGGATAATTTCGGACTTGTTAAGAGGACGGAATCGACACAACACCTTGATATTGCATTCTGCGTTTGCATCAGCCATTGTGGGGGAAAAAATAGTGGACGCGCTTCCAAAAAAGATAAATTATTAAAGATAAAATATTCCCAGTGCAACCCTTTCCCGTGCACCACCTGGACGCAGGCTGAAATCACCGGCTATACCCACATGCAAAGCCAGACTGGCAGGCGGAGCATTTGGAAAAATGGGCAACTACGAGTTTGGGGAAAGACTACAGCCCAATTCATTACAGAAATGTAAAGCAAAAACAGAAAGAGAGAGTTTCTTGTCTCAGATGCTCTCAAACCAAACTCGGTGGAGCGCTGGAGAGCAGATGGAGAGTTGTAGATGGGGAGTATATATTCCAAAGTGATCCGGTCGGCGGTGTCTGGATAGGTTGCAGACTGCTCAGAAGCATGCCTTGCATCACTGTCATCCCTGCTCGCTCACTGGGGGCGGGGCGTGGTAAAGTAGCGACTCAAATCCTCTCTCATCAGCACCGCTGAGCTGAGGGACCGAGGAGCAGGAGAGGAGCACTAACTCTGCTCCTTATTCCCGCAACCACATTCAGACTGGACAGACTCCACTGGAAAGTTCACTTTTCCATCAAACACTCAAGTTTCAGGTGGAGCACAAAAAAGGTGATGGTGTTGCTTGTTGCATGTGGTGATTTATTTTCTGTGGCCAGCAGGTTTTTGAGGAGAGCATCTTTTTTTCCAGGCTGCACCAGGCTGGTCGTCATGGCAATGCTGTTTTGCATAACAAGCTGGGTAGTCATGTGGGAAACAGAGGCTCTGTAATTTTTGCCAAGAGATTTATAGGGTACTCCATTGATGCAGTGCTGCACTTTCATCAAGCTGGAGGACTTGGGAGACAGATTAAAATAAAGACCAGACAAAGTTGGAGCAAATAGCCTGACTTTTTTCCCAAGGGATCAAGCACCAAAAAAAAAGCTGAATATCATATTTCCCAAAATGCCACTCAATTGTACCTTTCATTAAACCCTTCCTACCAGGTACATGTCATGATTTCAAGCTTTAGAAAGTCACCAAGAGCCTCAGAAGACATTATACAGATGTTAACACAGGTTATTTACCCCCCATGATGAGTAAACACACCTTTTTGTGTAAAATTGGCAGATTTTGTGGCTTCTGCCAGTGGGTTCTGTTGGTTTATGTAGGCCTACAAGACAAGAAACACAGTATGAATGAATAAAACTATAGTATTCACAGTAGTCTTATGAATGTATTTGCATTTTGAGACCTGAGAAATGTTCAAAGACAAGCTGTGTATGTAACAGGCTTTACCTTAATAAAGAAATGTGTGCCATAGTGCTCTGGATGACAAAGCCACAGGCGGCTGTGTGTCTTGTGCTGTAGATTATTTGGCCAACATTGATGCTTCGTCATCTAATCCAGTCATATGACAGGTTGCCACTAGTGATGCCACTGTCATCCTATGTTATAGCCTATGTAATGAAATTATGATGAGTGTAAAGTGCGATATAGTAGCCTAAGTGATAATATGAAAAGCAGAAATACTCTTACATACTCTGATGTTATGTAATTATTACACTTTTCTTTACATATGATATAAAAAAAATCCTGCACAAATTACACATATAATTATATTTACTATAGAATAGATTTTCGTAGTATGAACCAAATGTGACTTTAGGAACAGAATTGCCTACAATAATGAAACATTTATAGAGTTTTTTTTATTTATTTATTCAAGTTTTTTCCAGATTTTAATACAGTTAAGCAATTGTTTCTACCCCAACATGGTCCCCAAAATGCCCAATTATTTTGCATTGGAAAATAAAAAGTAGGCCTAGATAAAACATTACAAAACATTGTAGCATGAATTATTAGTAAATTAAAAAAGTATACAGCAGTACTGCCTCATGCTTCATACTACTTCTTTCTGCATTTACTAGAATATGCTACTTAAAAAATACTTTTGATAATGTGGATTTGATTTTTCCACCGAGTGAACCATCTTCTTAATCGACCATCTTTGGCCGTTGATTGCGTTGTTTGCTCGTACCTTTAGCGCCACCGTGCGACCACTCTCCTGCAATTCAACCACACATTTCTTGAAAATAAAGACTGAATCATTTTGTTGTTAAAGGCAATTAATTGTTGAATATGCTGTGAGCACGACAATAAATGTGCGTTTATAGGGAAAATCTGATAAAACGATGTGCGAAACATATCAAAAAGGGACCGTTAACAACGTTAAATCGTATTGGTCAAGCAGAGCGCATGCGCATAGACGCCTCACTTTGTCGGGAATGTTTGTTTTGTTGGTCTCGCTCGGCCGTTGAACGCTTTCCCATTGATGTAACGAGCACATCACCGCCCGTTCTCCTGCGTTTGTATGAAACCCAACGCACAGGCTGTCAACTCAAGCTAGTGACCACATCAGCCTGGAAGCCTCCGCCGGCTGAGAGACTGCTGGCTCATCTATCGTCAGCTTTTGTTACAGTTTGATTCGGTTATCGACAGTTTGCACGTTTTAATAACGGTTATTATATTCTGTAGTGATTTGTTGGTCTCGTTTTTGCTTCCCACTGACAATGGCTGATCCTAAATACGCAAACTTGCCGGGAATTGTAAGTGGCTAGCGCTAGCAGACAGATTAGCTAGATTGCTAACGTTACTTGGCAATGCTAGCTCCAAGGTGTGACAGCTAAGCTAGCTAACGTCTATGCACTTCACTCTGGTATCTCCTTATTGTTTGCGCCTACTATACAACTAGCGTCAATAATTGCAGATTCTTAGTTGTTAAACTGTCAGTTAATGTTGTGTCTTGTGATACAAGCAACCAGAGAGCAAGTGCTAGCAAATACGTGTTGTTGAATGGGCCGGGGCGTTGGCCAGGCTAGTGACAATAAACGGGATATCTGATCATTTGATATATTGTTTACCTGATTGTTTTATTAGGCCTTTAACGAGCCGGATGTGTATGAGACCGGTGACCTCCCAGAAGATGACCAGGCTCAGTTTGAGTCGGTGAGTGGACGTTTTGTATTCAGTGTTAGTTTACAGACTGTTAGCAGATTCGCTGCATATTAAGCTAACCTAACTAGCTAACAAGTGTTTACATCTGATATAACGGAGATAGCACTTAATCCTTGATTGCATGTGTGTATTATCTGTACCATGTTTAAACACCTAACCATGCAAGTACTTGTCTTACTATTACTAGTGACATGGCAAAGCACTGATTGTAGTCTAGTATTACTTTATAAACAGTGATATTTAAATTAAACAACGTCACTACATGTGTGCTGTCCTTACTAACTTTGTAGGGCACATTAAAAAATGTTTTGTCCATCAAAATATCTAACATGAAACCTATGACCTCTTGAGTTTATTGATACATAATCTGTAAAGCTTATGAATCTTCAAAAAAACATATACATATTATGTTAATATTTCATTAAAAAATGCAAAGATGCCCTCTTCACATTACTATTTACCTTGTCCTTCATATATTATGCATATTAGCCTGTCTGTTCATTCATACAGGAAGGACTAAAACCCTTCCCTCAAGTCCCATTCACGCAGCCTCAAGGAACAAAGTCTACTGTCGCAGTTTATAACTATGTCATTGTGATGGTCTTGTGATGTCTGTTCTCACTGCTATCTAACTGTAACATTAAACATGGCTAGTGGTGGCTTTGTGTGAGTACAGTCCTTTTACAGTGCTAATAATTAGCACTAAACAGCTGATAGATGCTGGTCTACTTTTAAACATGTCTGGGCTATTTACTGACCAGCTGAGTGAATCCTAATTGGCATTTTCCCTTCCATGTTTCCACATTCCTTCTTCCCAAACCCTTGCCCTTGATTTGACTCTTGCCCACCCCTCCTGGGACCCTAGTTTGTACAAGTAAGACTGGCTCCATTTTACTCTGAGTGAGCTTAATGCCATGCCTTTTATGCATGTTTTTTTTAAATCTCATATCCATTTTTCCTACCTCTATTGATTGGGATGAAATGAGAAATGGATCGATGGAGTGACCCTTCTGTGTGCTCTGTGATTCATCAAGTTGTGATTGTTTTGAAGTGCAAGGAATTGATTCTTTCCCCCCTATTTGTTTTGCTCATTTAAACTTTTTAAGGGAATAATGATGTTGATGGGTCTTCAGCGGCTCTTTAATTTGCTCTTTCACTGGGTCATGCTTTGACAAAGCAGTGAGGGCTCAAGTGTGTGTCTGTTTGAGTGTGACTGCACTGACAGGAGAAAGAAAAGTGTTTATTTGTTTTAGATATTTCCCCTTTTAATCTGTCATCATGTTCTAACAATTGCTTCCTGCCTAACTGCGCTATTCTGACTAACTGGATATTATAAAGGCCCCTATACACTGTGTGATAACTTGCAGATTGATTCCACATCACATTTTGAGAGATGGAGATAATATAATAAAATATGTGCTGAACTGTTTGGTGAATCCCTGTTAAATCATGGAGTTAAGTAGAGGTTTTTTTTTAAATATTATTTTTCCTTCCCAATACCTGAACTTGCATATAGGCTATTACCGAGTACCAATCCAGTACCAATGCATTAAAAAATTATATAAATTTAACTGAATTTGGATGGATGTGAAAAGATTGTTGTCATTTTTGTATGGCATGGCACAGGTTAAACCCTTTGTGAAACATTATCATTATACATATACAGAGAGTAAATAAAATTAAAAATTATCGACATTTTGCTAACATTACCCTACCTACCAATAATCAGTTCTTTGCTGCTCTAAAAAAGTAGTTGCCAGCAGCTGCACAGAGCAACTTGTTATGTAGGTTGCTGTTTTAGAGCGGCAAAGAAGAATTGATTTCCTGTATATCTGATTTCTATCTGGATGGGAAAATACTTTTATTAATGAATTACATGGTATTGGATTGGTGCATAGATTTGCATACTCGCCGATACCCAGTCCAGCATTTTAGACAGTATCAGAGGCATTTCCGATGCTGATGTCGAAATAGCTGTGGTTTTAATGATGTCAATAGGATAAAGAAATGCAAGCAGAAACATGGCATCAACTTGTGCAGTCCAGCTGCATCACTCTCATATTTTGAAAATGCAGTGGAACAAAAAACAGGCTTTGGTATGGTGCTGGCACGTCTGTGTTCACAAAATGTTCTTCTTTGTCAGAGCTCCACAAACTGTTTTGTTTGCCATCAGCCTTTTAGTTTATGCCTACTACTTAAATCAAATATTGTGCTTATACTGTTGTATTGGCCAGTGTGTTATATGTCATTTCATAAAGGGATGCACTGGATTGGTATCTGCACTAACACTGGCCATATTAGGTAGATCAACTATTGGCCAGATGTGACTGATCCACATTGAGATGAAGGTTTTTTAGTCAGTTTTTATGCT